CTTTCACTGCGTCTTTAGAGAGCCACATTGATATGGTCCAGTCCATGTTCGGTCTGTTAGTGCATTCTTAGATCTAAAAACATAGAAAACATGTCTGACATTCAAAACATATGTTTTTCATTTACATACCGCTTTGAAGCCTACTGTAAAAGCTTCACCAGGAAACCACAAGAGGACAAACCCTAATACATATTTCCTTCTCATTTTTTCTCTTTAAAGGCACATATGCTCGAAACTCCACTCACACGTTCTTTTACAAAGCACGTGAACGCAACACAATGTATCTCAGCTACATCTGGTTCCAGTCTTGTGCCAGTCTGACAAGCAGCAAGCTACGGCAAAAACCCCTGGCAACAGAAGTCTCACAACATTGTGGGTTAGGTAGAGGGAGTGGCTAATAGAGACACTGATAGCGTTGCAAAGCGAATGCACTCAAATAACCCCTGAAGTGAGAAGTTCAGGGAGAAAGGAGGATAAGAGGGGCAAGTGAGTGAAAGAGTCAATCAGAGTTTTGGAGGCGCAGCCCGCCAAGGATCCATTTTTGCATCGCTAATGTAGCCATAGTTGCAGGGTGAAGTTATCGCCGCTTTAATGAGAAGCTTTTTGTTCAGGAGCCACGCATGGACTGTAAAAGCAGGGAGGGGCCCGGATTGATTAATGAACGGCACACATTTTAAAGCCTACTAGTCCACGCCATCAAACCTGCCTGTGAACAGGCATTACAACATTAAACCATAGTAACAAGTTCTAATCACACATTGCCCTGTGTTAGCCCGATGATAAATGAGCTTCTCTTCCCTCACGGTCCAGTAATGTACTCAAACTGCTCCCTGCCAGTGCATGCCTTTCCTTAAATGAACTACAAATGTTCTGTTAGGGATTGACAAGTGAGCGCAGAGATTCCACACACTGAGGTTAGTTTCCACCGCATCAGAATTTGCTGATGTTGCCACTGAATTCATAGAAAGCACGCTGCTGACCTTTTCTGATTCCTGATGCTGGCTTCATCAGAGAAAATGTTCCTCCAGTGGTCAGTGTTTGTACATTTGCTGGTTCGTAGTATGTTTTACTGCCTAGTAGCAAATGCCCGTTCACAAAATATCCCTTTGTCTCTCTGGCACTGTGTCTTAGAGTTATGTTCGTTCTGCCAGTTCGTGGTCAGAGCTGAGCCAGTAATTTCTTGGCTCCTTCATCAAGTGTCACCATGTAGCTTAATCTCATTCACACACAACTAGCCAGGGTTGACTGGAAGTGGTTTTTAGACAGAGTTCAGTGACAGGCAGAGTTCATAGTCTTTAGAGGCTTGTTATGAAAACGAATGGAAAAAGACACTAAATAGGTTAGGATTTGTTGCTCCTGGAGGACGTCCAGACTCTCCTTTCAAGCTTAAGACTCAAGGGCAAAGAACTTGCCCAAAGTTGTGTGTGCTTGCTTATGCACCGGCATGATAAACTCAAATTTCTTGAAGAGTACTCCACTGATTTAGCAGACTCATGGTGGTTTTTTTTAATGATCAAAATCACTGAAGCATAAGCACAGATATTGTTTTTTATTTCACAAATTCTTTTTCCCAGTCAAAACATGGCGCCTACATTACCCACAATACAACAAGACGGCCATCAGTTCAGTTAGAGATTCGGGTGTTTTATGCATGCTGCTAATGTAGCCACAAGGTTGCTAGGCTCAAGCAGAGATGAGGAATTGGCTACAGAGGTCTGATAAGTTCACTTCTGTCAAATTCCAAACCCCCAGATTCTTATCATTTTCAAACTTGAAAACGCAGACTCAGGTGACATCATTTGAGGCCATTTAATCAGACGAACGCGAAACGTGGACACACGCAAAACTGTTTACATATATACTGCAGATACACTGATACACATACATGAGCTACAAATGATGAGCAAGCGATCAACCACCGGCAACCAGCATAGCAGAGGAAAATGACTAAACAATTGGTTCTAGTATATTCAACTTTTCTGCATTCACCTGCAACTCTGCAGCAGCTACCTGCTGTCAGTGAGAATATGTGCCAACTGGCAGTCCGCTGACTTTGTTAGATAAGGCTTAGTCACTGTGAAAGCAGTGTCCAAAACACAGTCAGAAATAATAGTGAGATGTGATGTGTTTATGCCAAAGTAGATTACCGTCAGGAGATTATCGCAGATCACAATCATTTTACACTATTAACTTCTTGCTTAAATAATCATGGATTTGGATTAGATTTACATAATCTTAGATTTCTCTTACACCAGTAGAGTACTCAAGTACTGAGTAGCTATTCCACTAAAGAGTGATTTCCCCACTAAACTTCTCAAATGGTTTTAAATCCTTGAAGCCAATATTTTGGCTTTTTGGGGCATTTTTCTGCTGAACGAGCACTTTTAGTTTTGATACTTTTAACTACATTGCTGACAACACGTCTGTGCTTTTAATTAAATTGAATTTTGAATGGAGAACTTTGACTTGTAATGGAGTATTATTACATTATTGTATTGGTACTTAGTAAAGGATCTGGGTACTTCTTCCACCACTGTCCCACACTGAGACTGTGTCTGTAGCCTGGAGGAGAAAACGAGGGCAGATCAATTTCTAGATAAAACTACCTCATGACATACTTCCACAGGCAAACATATGGAAACACTTCAGCCATTGTGTGTGTGTGTGTGTGTGTGTGTGTGTGTGTGTGTGTGTGTGTGTGTGTGTGTGTGTGTGTGTGTGTGTTGTGTGTTTGCATGTTATGCATGTGGAAGCAGGTTTCTAACAAACTGTGTGTGTCCTTATGAAGCTGTCCACATGTGTTGGGTCTGTTTGGTCATGCATCTCTGCAGTACAATGAATTATACACAGAATTCAGCAGCAGCCTTTCACTTGAGTGTCTTTCAAATCCCCCCAGTATAGCGGAGAATCTATTTCCCCATGCTGTAGCACTTCAGGCCCAGCTCTGATTGATTGTCTGTTAAACTGCAAGTGTCTGAGAGACAGTCTGCCAGGAAGCCTACAGTGTGACTCTGGGTCCACAGCAAACAGACAGGGAACAAGCTCCTTCACTACACAGGATAAATCAAGCTAATTAGAAGGGATGTGTAATTTGAAAGTAAGTGCTTGGCACAAAGCTGGCCAAATCGCACCCCCGCATGCACCCTGAATACAGTACATGCCTCTATTTGGAAAAGTGGGACCTGGCCGCTTGGATGGAGACTCCAAACACACAAGTCTCACCATCACACACTCATACTGAGACAAAGTTATCAGCTATAAGAGCAATGAAGCGAGATTCATGAGTAAATTTGCACTCCTGCACACCTCCGCAGATTGTCTGAAATAGCAGGAAATTACAGTGGAGGTGGGAGGAGGCGAGGTGATGTGACCACGAGAACAATAATCTACAGACAATGTAATCAAGATAATGAAAAAGTAGAGCTGCGTCGATCGGTTAATTAATTGTTGATGGAAGGAAAATTAATTGGCAACTATTTTTTATAATCAATTAATTGTTGTCTCAAGCAAAAAAAAAAAACATGTTGATGGTTTAAAGTTATAATGTGAGGAATTCCTGTCTTTCATTGGAGTAAATTGAATATTTTTGGGGTCTGGACAAAAGGTCATATGATAACAAAGACATTTGTTGATGTCACCTTGTGCTTGAGGACATTGGATTGTACATTTTCCACTTTTCACACTAAGAATCACCCAGTCAAAATTCACCCAGTTTATGTCAATACAGTATAGCACCAATACTGGGTTACCTTTGCCCAATAGGTTATTATGGCCCAGTAATAGACACAGCAGGCTCAAGTTTAACCATAACCTGTGACAGTTTTATAGATCAAAAAATTAATTGTTGATAATAAAAAGAAAAACACCTCTTCGCTTATGCTCTTATGCTCTAACACACAAGTTCTTGACAAACAATATCCAGTTAGAAAGTCTTGTGTACAGTGCGCGATTATGCAAAGAGGAAGGAACTGGTGTGACACAAGTAAAAGTGAGAGGCTTTAAATAAATATCAGCTATTCACTGGTCCAAACCCCAGTTCACAAGCTCCTGGTGGATGGCTGAGAGCATGGACCACACAGGGAGCCGGGCAGGTTAGGACATCCAAACAGCTCGGTGGCGCACAGTCGGTGTCATCCTGCCGGAACTTCCCACAGAGGGCACATATCTCACAAAGCTCCAGGAGATTCGCCAAAATCCAGCTGTACCCCGCTGAGAAGTCATATCAGCTGCACATTATGTGGTCTATCTGTCACCATGACCGCCTGCCTTCATGTGTCTGTCGCCTCAGGGTGTGTGTGAACTCACAGGTGTCCAGCTGTGACTCGGTGGCATAGGACTACAGCAGGTGATTTGAATCATCTTCTGTAGTGGAGGGCGGCGGGGGGGGGGTTATTTATTTATTTTTTGGTAGAATTAAAACCTGCATATTCTCTGAGCCCTCTATGGCGCATGATTGGACAGCACTGGGACACTGTGGTTGCTGGACTGCCCAATCAACCCCTGATTTTGACAATAAAATGACGATTGACGGCGTCCTGCCACTAAGCACATTTGTCAACGTTGCAGAGTCAGGTGCAGACGAAATGTATCCGTGCGTAACGCTCCCCCCCCCAACCAACACAGTCCGAAAGGAAATTTGAACGCACGGTGTTTGGATCAAAAAATGATGAGATGAACAAATGGCATCAAAATGTGATTTCAGCCAGAGAGGGTCATTTTGGAGGCGAATACATGTCTACACTCTTCTTTAGATACATAATATATTCTGGGGGATCCCTCCGCTCCTTCCATCGGTGCGCGCACACACACACACACACACACACACAGCAGATCCTGGCTAAATCACCAATGCACAAGGTAAAAAGGCTCACATTAGAAACTAACTGTGTGGCCCTATGTACAGTGCTACTTCTATGTAAGACAATGCAGTTTCTGTGGGATAGTCTAACCGCTTTGCTCGCCCTGTTGTCCCAGACCCAAAAAAAAGAGAGAGGACCTACCTGGTAATCTCGAAGCTGCAACCTTTCCGGAGGAGCAAGGCTCTCTTCCGCATGATGCCTTTGTCTCTGCCGAGGTACACATTTTTATCTGAATTCATGGGTGCTGGACGAGCAGGTAGACTCGGGGAAACAGCAGCGCTTTCTTTCCAAGGAAAAAAAAAAAGTCAAAAAATCGAGCTGGGACTGCGAGAGGCGGAAGGAGAAAGAGAAACAGGCTTTCCGAAAAAGGAGAGGAGGAAAAAAAAAATCCTTTGACGCTCGGTCCACCTCAGAGGAGCAAAGCAAAGTGATCTTGCAGACTTTTTCCACCCTCAGACTACACAAAAGACGGTGTGTTGAAGCTTTCATTGGTGCATGGTGTCGTGGTTGGTGGTATCTCCATGCGGGCTTATTGGAGCAGACTGAAGCGGGGCTGCTGCAGCTGTGAACCTGAGCGGACTGTGCTGAGGAGTCTCCGCGGCTCCAGAGATCCTGTGATCCTGAACTGTGGAGCCCACAGCGCTCCCTCAGCTTCAGCCCGGCACTGAGTGGCTGCGAGGCAATGACTTCATGAAAGTGATGGAGAGAAAGAGAGAGAGAGAGAAGAGAGAGAGAGAGAGAGAGAGAGAGAGAGAGAGAGAGAGGCTGGTGGTAACACAATGTTTGTCCATCCATCCATCCATCCATCATCACATAGAATATGTAGCATATGGATTTAGTGACCTTTCACTTGCTTGGTAGTTGAATAACAGAAAGAGAATATATCAGCAGTGCTTTAATTTATTTATTTTTTTTTTTGGGGGGCAATTTAGTGCTTCTTACAGCATTTATTTTTTGCATTTCTTAGTTTCTTTGGGCACTGAGAACAGAAAGCAATGTTCAACTGACAACACAGATGCCAAATTACGAGCTTCTACCTATAAACCTCGGTTTAAATAAAGTACACTTTACTCATAGCAAGTACTACAAAATAGTATATTTAACATTTATTCCTTGGATATAAACAATATGTAAAACCTGAGAAAATATTTAAAACATGAAGCATTTAAAAAAAAATAGAAATTATGTCAGAAAATAAGCAAATGGAAGATTTTTTAATATGCACTCTTTGTAGAGCTACTCATTTGTGTTCTGATTTGATGCAGTACAACAGTTTTTTTTGGATGATGGATGTAGACAATGGTGTGAACAAGAGTAATTATTACAAGCAAAACCCATTTCAATGTCCATATGGACACCTGACAAATAGACTTGAATTGTGAACCTATCCTTTAAAGGAACAGTGTGTAGGATTTAGTGGCATCTGTGTAATTGTAGATTGCAGCACCCTCACCTTACCCCATTCCAAGCATATATATAATTTGATGACAGGGGATGACACCCAGCAAAGGGCCACAGGTTGGATTCAAACCCCATGGCCGCTGCACCAACGACTCTCTACCAGGTGAGCCATCAGGGCGTCCCGAGTGTGTTCTTTTTAACATACTATGATCCACAGACAGTGAGTCAGCTCAGTCAGGTTAAGTACAATTAATATTTCAACAAGATATCCCTACTTAAAGTGTCTACCAAAGGCAATGTTTACTCTGCTAAAACAACACTCAGCAGCAAGTGCACCCCGCTGTGGGTGCTATGGATTAGTTGATTAGTTCTAAAAATAAAATTGTGTGGGTTGGTTGTGCATCCTGCGCTTCATTGGGGTGGGACGTCAAGGGGTGATTCATAGGGCATGCAGAGAGAGAGACTGAAGTATGGGAAGTTCACATAAGGTCTAATAATCAGTCTGCACAGAGAAAATTATTGCCAAATTTCATTCCTGCTTGTCTCATATAACAACAGTTGCCTATCATATTTTTTGCAAAGGTGGTAATTTTTTACAGTGTTGAATATCTTGACAATATCAGCATGAAATAAAAGTATAAGGATGGATACTTGACTAACTATCGTAGCGCTGAGAAAGGCGGATGACATACCAGTCTAAAAAGTGTCCTTGAGTGAAGAGTTGAATCTTTTTGAGAAAATGTGAAACAATCATCACTATTCATCATTATTAACAGGAGTACTGCTTTATTTGTGAGACTATGAGGTGATGATGAATGTCAGTATCGTGTTAACAACTTGTTTCTGCTTCCACCAAAGTGCACAAAATCACTTATTGTAAGCTTTAAGGATTGCAGCTTTAAAGTTAACACCATCAGGCAACCTAGAGTGAATACAATGGAGCCACAAGCAGAAAACAATGTCTCAACATGTTTACTTCTTGTTCTACTTTTGTAATAAAACCACTGAATTGTCTGTGACACGCCAAAACAATGGCAGAGAAGTAGAGAAGAGTTATAAAGTCAGTGAACTCATTCTGTAAACTGTTACACACAAAAATAAAAAATGTGCTAACAATAGCAACCATTAGCCACCATAAGCTACTGGTCTTATGACCTAAAAATATTGTAGCAATACAACAGGGTGCAATCTCTTTCACTTTCACCCTCAGCGTACACCTGCTGCAATAATTTTTCAGACATCCGGGGTTATCACTCACGGAGCGTGGACAGAAAAAAAGATGGAGATCCGCAGTTGGATTCAATAATAACTGACGAGGAAAGGAAATATAACGGCAGATCATCTCCTTAGTTTCTACTTTGATCAGTAAATCCATGTGGTAGTTGTTTTCCGTAGGTTGTTGGCTGTATGTTTCACCCTTTCCATCCAGTAGAAGGGAAAGTAAGCTGATAACTCCCACATATGCACAAAGACACACGCTCACACACATACACTCACACTGTCTAGTATGTCAGCCCAGTGTTTAGATGAGGAATTCTCTTAACATGACTCACAGCTGCATTCAAAGAAAGACCCGGCCATGTTTGTGTGATTGGAGAGACTTCAGTTTTTGTTTTTGCTCAAACCTTCTGACTCACTGTGATTCAACAGAACTGCCTCTTACCACATCTCCCTGTGGTTAGAGATGCTTTAAATACCCGCCCTCTCTCTAACACTACTTAACAATCTCATTGTGTCGCAGGTATGTTAGCAACAGCATAGAGTGACATAAGTGACAAATACTTGTTGAGGCTTTATATTATGATTGTAGAGAGACGCAGCATTTACTGTAATTGAGACTTTCAGAGGCAACCTGCCTGCCATTATCATTATTTCGTTTAACATTAAAAATGACATGTTTTCCAAATTAATACCATATGTCTCAGTGTCAGATATCCTCCTGTGTGGCACGTGAGGCAGTGAGGTTATGCAATGTATGTGTAGGTTATGCAGTGTACGTGTAGCTCTTTCCCGTATTTGGAGGATGGAGGGCCTTCAAAGTCTGTGATCTCACTGCAGGACTGTAACAAAAATGATCAACAGAAAGTCAACAGATTTGTGTGGTTGGTGAGAAAACAGTCCATGTGTCAGTAATCATTATCATGAGTTCCATGTCCCTGCCTTGATGTGCCGTGTACTGAGCCAGTTTCGAGTAACACTTTACTTTTTAATCAGCTTGATCAACAACATAATGACTAGTTGCCATTCTGAACATGCATGTTGCCAGCCCCCCTGCTCTGATTATGGCTCAGTCTCTATCACCAGACTGACCAATGACCTCTAGATGTGCATTTTAAGGTCATTTCATCCAGACAGAAGCAGAGAGTAATTCTGTGTGCAGCCTCCATTAGTCAAGAAGGCAGTTAGGGCCAATGGTGGAAAAAGGACAGCACAAGAGGCAACACACACACACACACACACACACACACACACACACACACACACACACACACACATACATTTAAAAAGAAGGAACCCATGTGATCTGAGTGAGGCATTCGTGAGTGATGGAGAATAGAGGGGTTATTAATAAAATCTGGAATGAGGACGTAAGTGAAGGGCTTTATGTTGGGAAGCTGTAGCTGTGTGTGCACCAGTGCCTGGTGTGTGTGAATCCTCTTCATCTGACACCTTTGTTTACACTTTTGCAGTCTCACAATACCAGACAATCGAAGATCTTAGTTCCTACCAATTGTCTGGGGATTTCTAAATGCAAAGTAGTTGTTACGAATGGATGCTATAAACATATGCCCCTTACTTCAAGGACAAGCCTCACCCGAGACGCCACTCCATTCTCCTCTGTAGTGAAACAAACTGGAGATAAGGAATCATTTTTAATGCAGAAAGAACTTTCTAAAACATTGAAAATGGATGTCCAAAGCAACGTTATATAGTACGACAGTGTTTACAAGCGCACAACTTCCGCATGTCACTGCCCTAAAGACTTTGGATTGGTTCTGCAATGTTCTGCAGCTGGGAGAAAGTCCTCAGTGACTGTTGAGCGAAGCGTTTAGAGATTGGCTTGTGAGTCTAACACTTTGTTGCCCTACAGCAGTTAAAATGTATGAGCTGCTCACGATAGACAGGTAGACAGACCCACTTCGGAAGGGTGTTAACAGCACCTCATTTATTAAAATCAACAGCTAGAAAAATGTGAAAGTAACAAGTTTGGCATTTTGGTAATTGCGTTTCTTTGTTTTCTTATTTTATTTCTTCCAAGAGTTAAGTGAGGAAATCAATACCACTCTTATGTGTCATTAGTGAGCTGTTTGTAGGTGGATTTTTTGTTAAACTTCAGACAAAGTTATGCCAGCAGTTTCCCCCTCGTTCCAGTCTTTACGTGATGGAAAGCAAACACACTTATTCTGCAGGCTCAGACTATAGAGGGCACACACCATAAAGCAAATAGACAGAAACTTATTAAGCACTTATTAAATAATAGTTCACAACAACACCCCAGCCTGCTGTGTCTGTTGCTGCAGGATGCTTTGTAGTGCTGAATAGTTGTCTGTACATCCCATCTTGTCTGAACTATTTGGCTGAACAAAGGGGTTCTGTTGCACTGTCAGCATTCCGTAAAATAAGTTTGTGAAGTCAAAAGGAATAATTACAACCAAACCCCTTTAACCTGCAACTGATGGAGATAGTGTTTGAAATAGGGAGAGAAAAGTACATCCTGGCAACATGAATAAGACCCCCCTCTATGTCTCTTCACCTCCTGTCTCAGTCGCGTGTAAATAGACTGATTCATCGGTGTCTTGCTGACCTGAGCAATAAAGAAAGCGCAAGGAGGAGAGCGGGGCCACAAGATGCTGCCAAACCACAGCTGAGGTGAGTCTATCAGTGACACTGGGTCCGATGCCAGCAGACCATAGCAACCCAAATCTCAAATAAAGCGTGGTGACATTTAGCAAAATGATGCCAACATTGGCGCTTCTCTCTGGGTCATAGGGTTTTTTGGGTGGCGGTGTCAGCATCCTTTCATTTCCCGAGGCCCAGTGGCCAGCAGTGTACAGAGATGAGAAGCAAGCACCAAATGCTACTACAGAAACCACATTTCCAATAGTAATAATTTTGCTCTGAGTCATACTTAAATGCTTTCATCACTCTCTGAAACCTGAAGTGAAGGACATTATTGTGAATTATAGCAGTGGTTCCAAACCGTTTTGACTTGTGACCCCTTCAGTGGAAGCAATGAAGCACTTGTGACCCCTCATCGCAGATTGCAGTCTTTGTGTGGACATATGAAC